CTCTCTCTCTCTCTCTCTCTCTCTCTCTCTCTCTCTCTCTCTCTCCCCCTCTCTCTCTCTCTCTCTCTCTCTCTCTCTCTCTCTCTCTCTCCACACTCTGCATTCTCCTCCATGGCAACACTTCCCACAAACCCCCTGTCACATTGATCTTGATTGATTTTCACACTCTGCTTGTTACAGATATAGATTTACTTTAAGCATAACACTTGATTTGATGCAATGCCATACCTCTCCTATCATGACATTGTTCCCCATACGATATATAACTATATACAGTATGTATATATATATATACACACACACAAAAATTTAGCTGAGTATATTTACTCAAGTTCTCAGGTACAAATTCAAGGTACTTGTACTTTAGTATTTCTCCACTATACTACTCCATTACATTTGTCTGACAAATTTAGATTTATTCACAATTTTAAACATTTTCATAGCACTCTTGTCCAGTGAAAACCATGTATCTTAAATTTGGTGATTCAGAACTGACAGGGAACATTTAACTGCAATGAGTACTTTTACTTTACATATTTAAGTCAATTTTGTTGATACTTTTACTGAATCAAGGTTTTGAATGGAGGACTTTTGTTTGTATTTGAGTGTTTTCACAGTGTGATATTAGTACTTTTATTTAAGTAAATGATCTGAATACTTCCTCTGCCACTGCATATATCATACCGTACTGTGTTCAGGCTGTGTTTAGTTGTTTGTAATGATCAAACAGCGGGTCTTGAGCGTAGCCTAATTGTTTGTTTAGACTTTTGTACATCATAACAGCAGCTATAAGCGAAGTCTGCTAACACTGTTCTCATGCAAAGCAATTAATAACATAAAAAACAACACTACAGCTAAAGTTGTTAATCTTTCACTCATAATTTGACCAACATACATTAATAGCATTGCTACACAACTTTAGAATAAACTGTTCTGCAATGCGCTACATGATGGCACATTGTGTAGGAGGGTTATTTTATGATGATTCTGTGTGGGGGGAGGGTTGGTGCTAAATGCTAATGAGGTGAACATTTGAGAAAAAAAAAGAAAGTCTAATGGTGTCTGCATCCGAAGGACTGAACATCCCAGATTTCTAAGATGGAGATTTCATGTCTGCTCACCAGGAAATCACCTTTATGTTTAATGTAATGTAAATCTGAATTCCTCACCTCGTTCTGTCCCTTTTTCTTCCTCCATTCCTTCAATTTTAAAAGTATTTTCTTCATTTTCCTCATCAGCTAAAGCTTTAGTTCCCTTTGAGTGTAATGTACCCTGACAAAACGCCATCAGATGAGCTCCAATAACCCATATCAACACCTCCCGTCATGTTCTCAACATGTTTTTTGATTTGATTTGAAGCTGGATGCTATATAACACTATTACAAATGTGGGTTTGGGTAAAGGCTTACAAGCAGGCAGGTGCAGATCCGGGTTCGGGTCTAGGTCCAGGTCCAGGTCCATGTCTATGTCTATGTCTATGTCTATGTCTAGGTCCAGGTGAAGTTGCAGAGTTGGGGTAAGGTTTAGGTTCCAGAAAAGTCTAATACACATGGCAACTCTAATGGTCTGGCGGGGAAGGAAAGGAGCTGGGCCGGCATATGAACTGAGATGCTGATGAGGGAATAAGATGCAGGTGAGCAGGTGGGTGGGGAAGGCCAGCCAATTGCAAAGTAGATAAGGGAACAGGTGAGGAGGTATGGGGCAGTCAGGTGATCGGGGAAAGTCTGAAGCTATCTGGTGGATGGATGGAAACTGAAGGGACTTGAGGAATAGGAAATGTGGCTGTGGAGGAGGGACAGAGAAACAGAGTGTGAGAAATGAACCCCCTGCATCACCTGTACTGCCCTTTAATCTGAGGACTAACAACATGCATCCCTACTCTGATTCATTAGGGCCATATTGACCCGTTTGTCTCCCTTCACTGATAAGAATGATTTGCCTTCCTGTTTGTCCTCACAGTGCTGTGAGAATAACACAAACCCATTTAAACCACACTGGTGTTTATCCCCATAGTGATCCTATTCCCAGTGTCGGAGGAAACTCCCACTGTTGATGTAGCTATTGTAAAAAACAAACACACATTTACTCAAGGAGGTTTAATCATAAAATATTTTCTTAAAACCTATAGTTACAAAAAGGTTGCAAAACTTTTCCCTCCATTAATCACCTCATGACGCCTCAGAGTTATCTAGTGACCCTTTGGAGGGGCCCGGCCCCTAGGTTGGAAACCACTGGACTAAACTGACCGAATATGAAGCAGTTAAAGTAGCTCCACTTCAACCAGCTATAACAGTAAATTGCTTGCATGATGTAGCATTTAAAATTCAGGAGCTTTACTTATAATAATTTAATCATAATCATAATGTAACTTTTACATTGCTATTCAATGGTCTGCATAATAAGTACTTTCTCTGCATCCAGATGATGCTTTTAAGTAAAACTATGAGATTGAGTGCTAAAATCTCTGGATATAAGATATAAATATGCAATAATCATCAATATAACACACCTATATGGGAGTTTACTTGTAGAACTTGACAATCCAGAGCAATTGCATGTGTTTATCACAATATGTTTATAACTTTGAACCAAATTAGAATTCAAATTTTTACTTTGGTACCCACAAAATAATGTGATTCCGCAACAGAAAATAACAGGATATAGGAATCTTTTATTCAAAGTAGCTCCTCTAAATGACCTCCCTGTGGTCCCAACAATACATCCCAGTTGTTGCACTATTATTTATTATTTATTTATAGCTTATTCACTTATTTTTAAATTTTTTAATCAATAAAATATCAATAAAATATTGCAATATATATATATATGTTATGTAAACCCAAGTAGCTTCTGAGTGCTGTATGGATTATTCTTTACATCATTGTTATTCTAATTTAAGTAAAAGATTTGAGTACATCCCCCACCACTGAGAATAGGACTATTACAAGAAACAATGTATTGTATCTGAAGGCGGCCTTATCTTGCCCCATAAAGCTACGCATAATTAGTTCTGCCTATAGGAACAGCCCTTGTGAAAGCCTTTCATCATGTGATATAATGGACCAAATGTTTTAAGATCCTGCCTTCATGCGCTTGCAGAGTCCATGTTATATCTGTAAGAGGACAGATGGCCATCCCTGTTAGTGCAATTCTCCACAGCTTCTCAGAGCTAATACACCCGGCATATGGACATGCATCACAGGGTGGGGACTGGCATCGGGCCCTCAGGAGAGCACGCTGACAGGATAGGGGACGTGATATGTGGTGCAGTTTTCCAAAAATGCTTGTCCCAAGCCACCGGCAACACTCAAAACCCAAAGCCCTTAGCAGGCACATTTCACTTACATAAATGTTCCTGCGTCTCAGGAAAGTGAACCTGCAGGTGCCTCCGGGCAGGGTGCACCAACGCTAGAGATTAGGTCACGCCTTTTCATGAAGGGAGGGGGGCAGCAGGGATGGTGACAGTCTGCCATGGGCCATTAGGATGAGGGCAGAGCAGCAGTTTATCCTCATTTAGGACAACCTTGGTTGAAAGGTATCCGGATAATCTCCTCGTGTTCTCTCTATTCTCCTATCAGAGTGTACTTGAGCTCTCCTTCCGCTCTGCCAGTCCCCCCACCCCCCATACACACATTACTGGACCCATCCCAGCTGAAGGGATTAATGGCCTTCTGACAACACAAGGAACCAAAACCAACTGCTTGAGGAAATTCATTTTACAGCTGGCACGTTGACGCCATGCACCTTCAACTTCGATGCAGTCACTCTGCAAGATAATAGTCTCTAGAAAAAGTCCCCACTGTGTGTACATTCCTTGCTTGTCTTGAGGTATTTAATCATGTCAGAGCAGGACTGAAATAATAACTAGCCAGGAAGAAATGGCAGCAGTAGAGACTCTGTACTGCCACCATGTGGTGGAATGTGTCGTATCTTTGGTGTCATCACTCCTAAACTCTCACTATAAGGTCACAAGACATTTTGTAGTCAACAGAGGTGGAAGTAGTAAAAAGATATTTTACTCAAGTAAAAGTAGCAACACTGCAAGTCACAGTCCAGCATTTAAAATCGAAAAGTATTTGCAACAAAATATATTTAAAGCACAGAAAGTAAAAGTATTCATTATGCAGAATGGCCCATTTCTGATTTATATATATGTTACTGAATTATAATTAGTGATTAATTAATGTATACATCACTAATATTACAGCCGGTTAACATAGTGCTCATTTTACTTTCTTCGTATAGTGCTGGTAGCTATATCTTATATCATAATGTATTAGTTAAGTTTTATGTGTTAATATTCTAAATCTGCAAAGTAACAAAAGCTGTCAGACAAATGTAGTGGCGTAAAACATACACTATTAGCCTCTGAAATGTAGTCGAGTAGAAGTATAAAACGGCATACAATGGAAACACTCAAGTGAAGTACAAGTGCCTCAACATTGTACCACAGTACAGTACGAGTTAGCTTCAAATAACATCTTTACACCACTCACAGTGCTTTTTCTTTAAAGACAAAGAGATGTAAACTAAATCACTGACTTATGTGAAACAGTTTGCAATTTGAGGTTTTATTTGGAAAATTAAGTCTCAAAAATTCAAGATACATTTGAATGACAAGTGCACACAAATTCAAAGTGAGGTTTAATATATGGCATAACGATGCTTAAGATCTGTCAAACTGCTTGTTTACACCAGCGATGACTCCAAATCAGCAGCAGGAAATTCATATCAGCCAAGTTCACAGGTTCAAGTAAGACATGTAGTTACAGTTTGTGTTAGTCCTTTAAGTTAAAAGCAATTCAAAAAGAGGAAACATCTCAAAAGAGAGAATTGATGAGCAGTGATTTATCAACAGGAAATGTCAAACATCGAGTCAGGCAGCAAAATTATATCATCAAAACTACTACATAAATTGAGCCTAATATGCATCCTCAAACTTATTAACTTAAATAGATCCTGAATATATTTTTTTTTTTTTACAAAGCATTTAACACTGATGAACAAAAACAGCTGATGGCAACTGAGAACAAAATCATTCCACAAAAGAATTATTTTAAAATTACAAAAAAAGAAGAAAAATAACTGCAACCAAGAGCACATTTTCACAATTAACACTATTAAAAACAAAACTGGGTTTGCGATGAGCAGTTCTGGCTAAATCTATCCAAATGTTTAAAATCAAAACAGCACTTCGCTGTATTTCTAGATGTCGTGATTTCTTCCAGCTACACAGAAGAAAATGATACGTACCTGAATCCGCCTCTCTACTACCAAAAGCTATACGAAGCAACATCACTGTGCAACACAAAGAAACATTAAATACAGGAAGGGTGGATTATTGTGGCCTTCAAAGACCTCAACTATGCAGGCAAACCTCCCGACTAGAGGGGCAACTACACGGCAAACCCACCAGGAGTGATTTCTAAAAGATTATGTACAACATCGAGGCTGCAGTCCATTGGCGTCCTAATATCTCAGACTGTTAAAAGTTAGTTGGCTCAGTTACAGTTCATAATTTTTTTCTGACTAGCAACAACGTTACCCAACATCTATTCTTGCTTCGTAATCCTGTTGCATCCCGGCATTTGTGGCATCTGAAAAAAGAACATTTACATACAATTGAAAAACTACTTTACAACACACGTCCAGTATTCGCCTCCTGTTGCCCCTCGGCTGACTTAAGAGCACAAAGTCGTCGCACTGGACATGCTGGGTATACAACTCCACACATCACCAACAGCACTGACCAGAGGAATATATTTGTCGTTATGTGGTGGCACGACATCGGACACAAGAGGAAAGAATTCAAGGTGCATACAAGGTAATTTGTTGGGACAGGGCACAGTCATTTGGTTGGTGTGTGGAATAAAATCGACAAAGAGGCCGTTTGTCTGTGCGGGACCAGGACACATGCAGAGATGTCTCATCCCTTGTTACATAGCAGGAAATCTGGTACTCAAATCAAGGCTGGGTCGCACTACCAACAAGTCACACTTCTTGGTATTACAAGTTATCCTTTCATACACAAGTATCCAGGTCTTCCGGCTGGAGCTCTGGCAACACTTTCTGGACAGGTTGTTGTAGTTTCTCAGTCTCAGTTGAAGGTGTGTGTGTGAGTTATTTGTCAGTGTTTGTCAGGTGCTGCGTGAGCTCGTCCATTCTGTGTGTTGTTGTAGTTGGTGTGGTACTGTATTGTATGCTGGCGTGTGTCTGCCTCTAGATGTGCATGATACTATGTGTGCCAGTGTGTCCGACACTGCGCTGCGTACGGGGGGGGGGGCAGACTATAGGAAAGCACTCGGGTTCGCTCGTGGATCCTTCTGGTTCCTGTAGCGCACAGCGAGCCACACTCCCAGGATCTGTGAAAGACACGACAGGCAAAAAGATAAATGCACGGGCACTTCTAAATAAATCAGCACATCATCACCAGATATGTGGCGACGACTCACAGGGCTAGCTGGCCAGCTAACCGCTAACCCGCTACCAAGCCAGGAACATGCGAGCGCTTGTCAATAACATCAGCATCTACCTATTTCCTGGAAACTAGCAGGAAATTTGGTACTGAATGATTTCGCCACCAATATTGACATTTATAAATACGGCTGCAATCGGTTCTTTAAGGAAGAATAAACCAAACTGCAAACCTTACGATTACTGGATGATTTGCTCAACAAAAAGAGAAAACCCCGATTTGCAACGTTAAACTCAATTCAGTGCCTTTTTGTCCTTCAAAGCCTCGTTAGACTGATTAAATGAGTGGGTGGTTAGCAGATGTAGGTTTGGAGACAGGACACTCACCTCTGTGAAGCTGAAGAAGAGCCCGACGCCCCCGAGGATCTTCAGGGCCTCCGTTGCATGAGTCAGCATCATATCCCCGCAGGTGTAACAGACAGTGTTCTTTTTGCATAACTGGAGGGAAAAAAAAAAAAGAAAAAAAAAAAAAAAAAAAAAAAAAAAAGAATACAAGGCCTTTAGTCTTCAGCAGTGTGAGTCAACCGTTTGTCGGCTAAGCCAGTATTATCCTCCAAAATCTGTTCTGAGAACTACAGGAAAAAGTCAAACTTTTAACTTATCCTGGTTAAAGGAAATGCTTATGTGACTTCTGCTCAGTGGAGCATATTGTGTGACAGGAAATATAATGTGAAACTGAAATATTTATCTATGATGCAGTTGAACATTGTACTTAAGGAAAACCATATCAAATGTAAATGAAAGAAACAAAAAATATATAGTGTAATTATGCAGCAACTCAAGACTGTGATTGTGCTGGTGAAGCAGGTTTTTAGATCTAAGACCTACAGCGGGACAGTTCTGCAAGTCCAGATCAAACTGTGCCTGGTTGGCGGTGACGTTGAGCAGCCCACAGCAGTTCAGCTGGCTCTCTAGGTCGGTCTTGGTCTTGTTTTCCAACATTCGCCAAGCAGAGTTCAGAAGTGCCTCCTGGAAAAGCAAGTAAGACAAATAAAATGAGGCAAATTTCTTGTAAAACGTCACAACAATGTATTTATGCAGATATAAACACGTTTTGGTAAAAAGTGTTACTAACATGGACGCAGCGCAAGAGACATTCAAACTGTTAGTTTAGAGTTTTCTCACCTGTTGTCCGCGGTTCATCGCCAAGCAGGAACATGAAACTCCAAATTGGAAGAGGAAAACGATGAAAAGAACGACCATGTACTTGGCGCAAGAAGTCAAAGAAACAAGGAAAAATCATGGAAAAGAAACACAAAGACCACATTTTCATATCACAGTTCACAGCAACTGACCTGATAATTATCTGTGAATCAATGTCAACGAGGGGAAAGGATACAAAGAAAAGCATGACTTGGTGGTGGTGTATCGCTCCGATGAGTCCAACAATAGCGATGAGCAGCAGGAAGACGCCCACTGCGATGACCCCTCCGATGATGTGGATGCTCGACACCAGGCCGAACCCCTTCCCCCATGCTGCTACTCCGATTAGCAGCAGCCCGACCAGCTAAGAGGGAAGGAAGACAGTTAGCCTGAGTCAGCTGAGGCAGTGTGCACCTGATGGGACTGAGCTTATCACGCAGTCATGTCACTAAGTTTTGATCACCACAAACACCAGTTAGGTCTTTCATTAAAAGGTAAAGTGTTTGCCAAATAAGTGATGCAGGGGAAGAACCAGGCTGACACGGTTAGAGCTTATTGTTAACATTTCTTCATATGGCCCACGGCAATTAGACCGCTGGCCTCCAGGCAACACATTTTTTTAAAACTATTTTCAATTATCTGAAACAAATTAAAAACAGAGGTCATTGTTTTATTTCTTTAATTGATTACGTTCAACAGAACAGTCCTGCTTATATTCTGTAATACTATTGGCTTGTCACTTTACCTTTAATGGGAGCTGACAAAACATTACAGAATTCATATTTGTCCCTGGAGGTTCATCTTTTTACGGAGGTACTATTTGTGCCTTTATACGTCTCCTTTCACTGCCGTCAGTGCCCTGACTCAACACAGCATCACACTCGTGACAGTTGCAGTGACTCAGCTGTCGACATGATTGCTGGCATGTGTACATGTTCCAAAGTTTTCTGACTGGGTGGGTCGTGTCTCAAGTGTGTTTATCAGCAGTGAGGCTCAGTGTGTCACAACAGCAGGCAAACAATGCAACGCTTCTCTTACTGCCACGTACTTCACAAAGTGTATACCTGGCAAACTTAAAAATAATCGTGACAGCAGGTGAAAGTGAGTAAGACAAACACAATAAAGATGTTTTTTGACTTGACACTTGATAACAAAAGCTGGACATGTTAGTTATACAGTGTGGGTACGTTTACGCATAATCACAATATTGTACTAAACAAAACCCTAGGTGAAAGTACACCACAATATGACTAACATTACTAATTAATCTGACAGGTCGCAATAAAACAAGTGATTATTTAGTCTATTAAATGTCAGTTTATTTTAGAAGACAAAGAAATGCAGCACTTTGTCACAATTAAGAAGCTGGAGCTGTCAAATGTTCAGTATTTAGGCTAGAAATACGACATAAAAGATCAATCAGTTATCAAAATATATCCATTTGCTATTGATCAACTTGACTAATCTGTTTAGCTCAACACAATATAGAGACAGATTTAATAAAGACACATCAGAGCAGTTATGTACAGTTGCCCACTGGCAGACATCAACCAACAACAGTTGCAAAAACAACTAGTTGTTAACAATTAGGGTAAACACATCTGTAATACCAGGCAGCAGTGACACAGTGACTAGAACAATAGAAACAGCTGTACGATATGATGCAATGCAACAGACCAGCAACAAATACAGTCTTACTTAAGTGTTTGCTGAGAGAGACAACTATGCTACTTGTCTTTATATAGACTCAGGTCTATTTTGAGTTTGTACTTTATGTTAGATGGTGATTCTAATATTTTGTCTTTCTTATTCACATATATGAAGGAGCATAGCTACAAGATAACACAACACAGCCCACTACAACCTTAAAACTCACAATAAGGTCTAATCTTCCCTAAAACATTCTTCACGGTGTCAGGTTTTAAAAAGGGGTACATTTACTACAGAGCTGGTGTACTGAACTAAGTTCACGGTGGGTTTATGCTAACGTTCGCTGAGTCGAGGCCAACATGTTGACTCTGACAGCTCACATGACTGACACACAAACACATTGGGTCTTGTTGCAACAGGCTCGGGTGACTGATAAGGAGAGAAGAAGTGGGAGATATCATGCACGTCAATGCTCACATCTGGGGTCAGCTGGCCTCCCTGCTAACGGTAGCATCCGGGCACATAATGGCGATAGCTAACCGGCTAACTACGGTTAGCTAACATATCTAACGCTACATATCTGTCTAGTTAGCTAACGTACACTTAAACAACGTCTACCTCTAAATGTGTAATATGAGTCCATACCATTAATCGTCTGAAAAACAAAAACAGAAGAATGTGAAACAAAGGGCAAAATCAGTCATCTTTCTGCGCCCTAGCCACACTGCTGGCTGACATAACGCTAGTTCACTCAGAAGCTAGTTACGCTAAGCTAACGTGGCTATAGCTAAAAGTTAGCATCATGATCCATTTTGTACACTCACCATGTAAACCACATTCAGGGAACAAAGCGCATTTTTGGAGCAGGTGAAACCGCCACAGACCATATTCGAAAAAGCTCTAACGACTAATGAATAAGACTTAATTAAAAAAACCAGGCTCGTCGGGCTCTCCGGAGCGCTTACGTCTGGACAAATGTTTTTGGTCAGCGGAGAGGGCGTATCTGATGACGTCGGCGCCGCATGTGACGTCAGGGTGTCAACCAAACGTCATCGTTTTAGGACAAAACCAGAGTCGTATATAAAGAGAAAGTAGCGTCAACGGAAATTCAATATGCTTGATTTTCACGGGATTCACGCACGATACACGACTTCAGATAGTATATAGATATTAGTAGACATTGGTACAAACAGAGAGACATAATTGCGATTTTTTCTAATTAGTAGTTAATGACTGAATATATTTACAATATTCATTGAGAGCAACTACATACGTATTTAGATACATCAATTGTGTGTCAAGTAATCTAAGTGTAACAGCTAGAGGTGCCTGCTTTGTTGACATATTTTGGACTGAAGTTACCTTGTTTAGAGGAACAGAGTGAGATTTAGTGGCATCTAGTGGTGAGGTTGCAGATTGCAAGCAATAACATACCCCTCCGACCACCCTCCCGTTGACACCGTGTCAGAGGACTACAGTGGCCCTGGAGGGATTGGTACCTTTAAGATACTATTACCACAAGGAGCTACTCTTATCAATACGCTGTTGTTTTTCATGACTAAATGAATGCTTTTAAAAAGCCATGTAGAATTTTAAAAACAAATAAATTCAGAACAGAATTAGAAGATATTTATAATTTAGATATAACTAAATGAAACTGGATCCTTATGTAGTTTAATTTAGCTGTAAATTAATTATATTTATTTATCTTTACCATATTGAGCATACATAAAACAACCACACCCTGTGTCTGGAATGGTAGTTGTGATTTCCATTTTGCCAGTAAAGATGTTACTATAAAACGGTGAAAACAAAAGTAAACATTTTAACATTAAAAATGACAAAGACTGATAAAAGACTGGAAAACAGGAATCCCAGTCTGTGTGAACACAGTGAGTATTTTCAGCAGTGCTCTCTGTTGTTTTAACAGGACACCTGTTACACAAGGATTACACAATAAGCTTGGTAATACATCAGGGAGACATCTGTGACACAGCATGACAAAGACAAACAGAGAAATGTTTGACATTAGCAGTCATTCACACATACATTTGTTTGTTTTTTACCAGTTCCACAGAACAGTACGAACAGAACAGAACTCTACGAAAGAAAGCCAAACTGTAACATCCTGTTACTGTGGCGCATCGAGTTGCTCTACTAATACTGAATAAGACACTGTTTGATTGACATTGTAGACAAGAATATTTCACACAAAAAGTGTCATAATTATTATATTTGTATATAATTAATTCTTTACTAATAGAAGCAGAGCATGTAATGTAAACTAAAACGTGTCTTTTCAATAGTGCGGGCACCACTACAGTCAGAGCGTGCGTGTTGTGAGAATATGGTTTCAAATAAGGAAGTGAATTCAGTTCAGTTCAAACCTGCAGAGGAAACTGAGACACACGCTGTCGTGAGTTGACTTTTGTGGTGTAGAGTGAGCAAGAGAGAAACCTTGAGCAGCGGCCGCCGCTTCTTTTTCTGCTTGCTTCTGCATTTTAATAGTTTGTGTTCATCTTGTAGAACAAACAAGCCAGGAGTTCAAATGGGCTGAAGCGAGGCACTTTAGCTTCAGTTTACAAAGAGATCGATGTGTCAGGATGAACAGCAGCAGCAAATCAGTAAACTCCTGTGCAATAAAAGCAGAGATCAAGAGGCATGCGTCTCTCCAGAGTGCAATCAACAGACTTTCCAAGCAGTTTGAAAGAGTTGCGGATCAACAGCTGCGCTCAGGACTTAAAGTTTACCTCCACAGCATTCAAGGTAAGCTCATCCTTCTTACTTTGTTGTATTTGGGGAAGAAAGCGACATATTATGTCAAAGTTCTGTATCAGAATGTGGTGCATGGTCTGCCTCTCAAGGTGCTCACTTTAGAGCATTTCTTGATAGGAGAAATCTTGGGCAGACTTTGGTGCACAGTGAGTTAGGCCATTCTCGTCATCAACAGCAGTGGCTGGGTGTGGGGGAACATGATAGCGTTGGTGATTGATATCATTCTCTGTGCTTCCTGTGTCAGCCAGCGTGTCTATTTCAGAGAAGTCGATGTTCATTTTCACTCTCCATTTCAAATTCACCTCTCGGCGTCTGCTATGGCATTTATCTATCAGTCAGCTTCTGGACACGGCCAACCAATGGCAACATCCCTCAGTAGCCATCGCCATGGCAGCAGGATGAAACCTGCTGTGCGGCCTACTTCCTGTCTGCCAATCTGCAGCCGCCCTCAAAGCCACTTCCTTTCAGACGAGCAGGGCCTTTTCACGAGAAGCTGATCAGTTTTACATCATTTCCTCATATCTCTACTTCCCAGCGTTTCTTGTTAATGTGACACAATGCGTTACTGTCGTGAGTTGTTTCTTGTCATCTGCATCCTTTTTCTGTTGAAGACAGACAGGTAGTGGAAGAAGTATTCAGATCCCCTACTTTGGTAAAAGTAGTAATACCACAGTGTAAGAATACTCTGTTACAAGTACAAGTCATGCGTTCAAACTACAAGTATTACCAGCTAAATGTATCAACAGTAAAATTACTCGCAATGATTTGTTCACCAGTGATAGAATGAACTAAGTACATTTACTCAAGTACCATACTTAAGTACAATTTTGAGGTGCTCGAATATTTCCATAGAAAGCCAAGAGAAATGTGTAACATCCTGCTGCTGTGGAGCATCCAGCTGCTCTACTAATATTGAAGAAGAGACGGTTTGATATTGCAGACAAGAGTATTTAATTTTATTCTACTTTTAACATCTACTCCAGAACATTCCAGACGGAAATATTACTTTGCTTCACTACATTCATTCACAGATAGATACATACTGTGGAGTAAAAAGTACAATATTTAAGTATAAAGCAGAATAAATTGGAAAATACTCACGTAAAGTACACAAACCTCAAAATCGTACTTGAGTAAATGTACTTTACACCACTGGCGTGGTCAGACTGGTTGAAATATCCTTATGAAATAACAGCTTACCTTTTGATTTCATCCGTGAATTCATCAGTCCACTGTTTGTGTGTGAATTGAAGGTTAATCAGCCCCCTGGTGGATTTTGGGAGTGCTTTGAGGTATTTTTCGAGATCTGGCAGATCTAGACACTCTCTGAGAAGCTCGTCCCCTATGTGTTAAACATTCAGCTAAATTATTTGGGGGGTGTAATTAGGCTGCTGAAGTGAGGATCAAAGTCAGTGTATCCTCAGCAGTGGGGGCCTGGATCTGTGAGTGTAGAGTTCACTGGTGCTAAAAAGAGAGCCACCTCTCTGTTTTCTTAATAAGTGAGTGGGATGTGGTCGACTGACTGTCTGCCAAGGAAAGCCTGGGGGGGGGGGGGGGGGGGGGGGGGGGGAGGAGAGAAGGGGTCAGGTGGAGCCAAATGAAGACATTTAAATGTGGATCTGACTAGTATGTGTTCACTGCAGCATGGCAGCAGAGCGGAGGGGAAAGACAGGAAGGACAGCTCCCACTGAAGGAGAAATGAAAAATCACCCAGCATGACCACTGCCCTTGGCCACTGTCCATCTGACAGCACCCGCCCATAGGTGTTAATGCGTATGTGTGCTTTGTTTGTGTGCACGTGAGTCTCTTCACATGAGAGTGTTTCTAAAAAGTGTCTGCCTAAAGACAACAGATTTTTGGCGTTATATGCTGGTGTCTATTTTTTTAAATAGTCAGATTCGCCGTGCAGCCCTGCAAGCTGCACTGTTCTCGTTAAAAATCGATTTTTATTCAAGTATATAACGTCACTCGCCCTGAAAGTGTGTTTGTATTTTCTATTTAAAAAGCAGCTTCCTATCCGAGGTTTGGCTCATGAATCTTCTTCTGCGTTGGAGGCTGCGGTTCTCTCTCAGGTCGTGTGTTTTTCCCCTTGAGCCAAAGGCGGCTGGTTGTCAGAGGTCTTTTGTATTCAGTGAGGGTAGTTATTGCCCTCTCCCTGACTGGTGAAGGGGAGGGGCGGAGTGGGCTGAGCAGTTGGACTGTCTGATCGTGTATTATGGGATGATGGTGGGAGGCTGAGACTGGTGCACTGTGGGGAAAAGCATCCTCTGATTTCACTTCAAGGATTTTTTTTTTTTAAATCAGAGAGTAATTAACATGAAATTACACCAGATAATAATACAAGTGATGGATGTGTGTAATCATGTGTGCTGCAGTGTTTATGTTGTAGCAGGCATCATAATTGCAGCAGTTTACTTTATCTTATCTTCCTGTATTTTAATTTCTGTTTCTTAACGATGAAGTCGGTTGAAAAATGAATCTATTTCAAGTTTTTTGACAATGGCTTAATGAATCGAATAATGCTAAATATTTTATGGGTCTATCTTTTCCTTGTCTTGTATTATAGAAATTGAATTCATTTGGGTTTTTCAACATTGGTCGGACTAAATATGACATTTGATGACATCAACTTGGCTTCTGGTGAATTTATAGACTATATTCTGATGTTTTGCAGCCCTAATTCCTTTCATTACTCAAATTGTATTAGTAACATACTGTATTTAGCAACACAGGTTTTAATCATAGATGAGTTACTGTATCTCTAAAAGCGTATACAGATTTTTTTCACCTACTTCATCATATGGAATATTTCTATGCTTGGGTTTGTTTGGTATAACAGTGTGTGTGTTTCATATTTTTTGCATTCTGTGGTCAACTATTGATGTCCAATATGCTCCACTTCATGCTGTGAGCCCAGAGCTTACCCACTTCTGCTAATGAACACATGCCGTAGCCGGCAATAGACTACAGATCAATAACCTCACAGGAAATCTCTTTCACTCACTTGTATGATGCAATGAAACACCCACGCACAGAGAAACACCATTTTGATACAGAGATCCTGGGAGTGATTGCGATACAGAATGTACCACCGGAGGAGGAGGAGGAGGAGGAGGAGGAGGCGGGAGGAAGGACACGGAGATGATTGTGCCACCAGAGCCAGGAAGATTGTAACACCTTAGCAACAAACAAGCCAAGCCTCCTACTGAGGAGGAGCCACACGGAGCCACACACACACACACACACACACACACACACACACACACACACACACACACAAACACAAATAGACAGCTGAAGACAGATGG